AGCTGTCTTCCATTGTATGATGAATCATCCTTATCTTTAAATCTTCATCGTATGCCTCTGGATGATTTGCTGAAGAATTCTCTAAGTGTTTTTGACCAGAGGGGCGATGAAGATGCTCTTTCCATCGCATCCCTGGTCGTCCATCGGTCCTCTGGTTGTTCACCTTAGCCAATTCTGCCTTGATGTCTTCATCGGTCTTCTAGTTCTTCATCACTTATTGTTTTTCATTACTTTTTCACTTTATGAATTATGGGGTTTAACATCTGTTGTTGTATGAAAAGAGAAGATTGTTTTTGTTCTACATTCGAGGGGAAAAATATTTGGAAGATTTTCTCAAGAGAAGATAATTTGAAGATCATAAAGAGGAGAATGTTAGAAGATTAATTTGAAGATTTTAAAATTCATAAAGTGCTTAAAGTGTCAAAGTTTCAAAAGGGATACAAAGAGTACAAATTCTTTCAAGCCTAAATCCAAAGGGGGAGAATGTTATGATTGAATTTTAGATGTTAATTGTATTCATATTGAAAGATTATATTTGTATTTCTAGAAAGTTTGACTTTGCATGTCATGGGTTTGACTTTGTAAGTCATGGGTTTGACTTTGACTCTTGTGTATTTTAGTTGACCTATAAATAGGTCTTGTAAGGGAGTTGTAGAAGTAGAAAGAGGAGCTTAATTGTAACATTACGTGTAATATAGATTTTTAGAGGAATAATATACACATTGACCAGTTGACTTTTTCTCTCTAAACTCATCCTATGAAGATTTCCATTTACCTTGATGTTCTTAGTGATTCTTGAAGATTGATTGAAGATTGGGACTATCATACTGCCAATATGGCAATTATGTTTCAAAGTCCCCAATCAGGTTGGATCATTGACTCTGGAGCTAACCAACATATGACTTCTAACTGTTCAAATTTAGATAATGTTGTTGATGTCACTGATCTAAACCTTAAAGTCAATCATCCCAATGGGACTAAAGCTATAATTAATAAAATTGGGAACCTGAAACTATCTAACAATGTTACTCTTTTTGATGTGTTTTTTTTCCGTTTTCAATTTATATCTTTTGTCTGTCCACAAGTTCGCTAGGGATAATAAGATTTTTATAGGATTTGATGAATCCAAGTGTAATGTTCAGGACTGTCATCAAAAGAGTATTGTGGGGTGTGACATCCAGAAATTTAAATACCAGGTCAGTAGCTAGATAGCACTTTAGAAATATTATTAACACTCAAGTAGAGCGATTAGAGCTTAAGTAGCTAGAAATCCCGGTAGGTTGCGTAGAAGACACTGTCTTATAAAATGCCAAGTACTCCAAATAATTTTTAAAACTTGCATAAAATATAGAGTCTTCATATTTTAAATATTTTTACTTAAAATTACATTTAAGAAATCTATTTATCTCATAAAATAGGAATGTGGGCCTTTTTCTCAATTTCTCCCAAAAGTACCCAACTTAATAAATTTTGGGCTAAGCTTTTTACAGAAAAAAAATTGAAGGGAGGCCCACTCCATGGCCGGCCCCCCCCCCCTTTTCTACCTATAAAAACATTTCTTGAAACTTGAAACTCTTATTTTCTCATTTATCTCTCAACTTTTCACCTTCTAACTCTCCCTCCATCTTTTTCTTCAAGCAAAAAAATTCAGCTTTTCATTGAGAAGAAAGGGGAATTCAAAAAATAAAACTTGAAGAAATCATCCTCTTTTCATCAAAGGTAAGAACTTGTTAGGATTTTGGTTTCATTTTATGCACTTTTAGTGCCATTTTCTTGTCATTTTCATAATTTTAAGTATGCAAAGAAGAGGTGTTCTTCATTCTAAGTTCTAAGGGTAGATTTTACACCAAAGACATGAAAAAATGTTCTTAATATGGTGAAATCTGTGACCTAACCATCTAGAACTTTTGAAAAACAAGAAAAACCCTTCATTTCTTGCATTTTTTGTGTCTCTTATGGAATCTGAGTTCTCTTTCATTTTTGTTACCAAGAATATTGTATTTTACATATTTTTATTTTAATATTGAATAGTATAATGATCTTCTTCCATAAAATCATTAATTTTGAAATTGTGATGCATAAAAACCCATTTTTGCTCAAAAGGATGACTTTCCTTCTGGACAGATTCATTGCATGTGATTGGAACGATCATATCTGGTTGATTATTGACCCAATAAGTATGAATCTTTTTCCTTAATAATATATAGTGTATTAGTTTTCAAACCCAAGTGGAATCATGAGCAAATATGATATTATGACCTCACAACACCCAAAACAAATTTGGTGTGCAACAGTGGTCGGTCAGAAATTTTATGTCTCATTGTTCATCTATAACTCTTAGAAGACACATTAAAACTCATGAAAATTTATCTCTGGAGTATATCTTAAAGTGTTATATTTCAAAAGAATCTAACTCCACCCAAAAACATGGTGATTTAGGAGTTCAACCGATTTTTACAAAATAAGTGTGCAATCTGTCCAGACTTGACAGATTTTCACATGCATGTTTAAACAACCATAACTCCTGAACTATACATCCGAATATAGTGATTCTTTTTGGAAACGCTAGTATTATGTGTTATCTTTAAAATGATTCATGAATCACTGGAAAATAATAAGTATAACTCCTTCAAAAGGGTGTAACATTAAGAAGGGGTTTTCTGTTTTGAAAGCTGTAATCACTGTTTTGGTAAAATTTGTTAGAGACCCTTCCACTCATCCAAAAATCTTATTTTTAGTCATAATGATCCGAACTCAGTATACTAAAACATATAAAATTTTTGGAAAAATATACTTCTTGGATGGGGGGTGAACCATGGACGTTTTTGAGTCACAAAGATTATGTCAGCATGCATGATTTCTTAAAAACACTAAAAAGTGTACTCTTAAACCATAAACCCCAAAATAAGCATATAAAGTGCTTAAAACTCGATTTTATTCTTAAAGACATAAAGAGGCATTATATAAGACGTAAAGGTAGAATAGTAACCTTAACCTTTAAGAGTTTGACAACCGTTCGTTTTCTATAGGAATTCTCTAAAAGGACTTTACCAAGGTACACCCATTCGATCACTCAACCATCTTCTCCGTGAAAGAAAGGTGAGTTTTCACAGCCCCTTTTTACTATTTTTGCATTTTTGGGGGAAAAACACGTATAAAAATAGCTGTTGATTGTATGAAATATACAATGTGATTAAATCGTAGATACAAATTGATTTTATGAAATTTGCAATAAGAAGAAATTGTGAATACGAGTACTAACACTATGTACGCTAGTAAAAGTTGTGTTTGGGTTAATGAAAAAGTCCCACTGGTTACACTACTTATTAACTCGTATGAGCCGATAGTTTAATGGATAGCGCTATTTGGATTGACAATCCCCCACCTTTTATTGACGAGTAGGGGTGCATTTAACTAAAACACGGGTTCTACACATGTGGTTTAAACACCACCGGTAGTTCGGTATAAAGAGCGTAGTTGTCGCAGGTTTAGTAGTGGCCCAACACTTAAAAATTACTTGGAGTACATTGTGCCTCGTTAAAAGTGCTACACGTATGAAAGTGGTTGCTAGTATGTAAAAAACTTTCTCGAACTAATTATTGCATAAAGATTTTGTTGTACAATGAAAACCTGTGAACTCACCAACTCTTTGTAGTTGACCTTTTTTTTCCTTCATGCTTTTCAGAAAATAAGTAAGTGATGTTTTGAGCATGTGTGTGCAACGACATCAACATTTCAACCTTCCGAACTAGTTTGTGTTTGCATTTTGTACATCATTGACTCCTTATGAGAGCAGTTTGTTATGTTTTTGTAAATCATGAACTTGTAATTTATATATTTCAATTATGGTGTTATCTATTACTTGTGCAATGAAACCGTGAGCTGTCATATCTCGTGTTTCCACTTTAGCGGGGTGTGACAGATTTGGTATCAGAGCCAAAGGTTATAGAGAATACCGGTTTTCCAAACCTCAAAATATAACCAAATACTTTCAAAACGATTTTTAAAATGATTTTTTTATACGAAGCACGTCACTAGTGTAACTGAAAGATAAGTGTCGCGTTATTATACTTCAATTAAACAAAGCCTGATCACCTATGTTTAATTCAAGTATGTATAATGGGAGACTTGAATCAGTTAGATTGAAGAGATACTCCATGCAGATGCGTGCTATCTCCATGCAGAGATACTCTAACCTTGAGATGTGTGCTATCTCCATGCAGAGATACTCTAACCTTAATCATTACGTGCATACGTAAAAGAACACACACACATCTAAGAACACAATACGCTTATCTTCAAGCAAGTTAGAATCCCTTTTTTAAGTATTCTAAATAATTCTTATCCAGAAAGAACTCATTTTCTTCTTAGTCTTAAACAACAAATCTTTTCTCTTTGCTAAGAACATTTGTGTGTAACTTACATTGTTTAGATAAGTTATCTTTACCTTATCTTATTCCACATACAATCTGTTTTGATCCTTCTTTATCAATATATATTTTTCATTTGAAAAGTTTACTGTGTTTGTATTCATCCCCCTTCTACAAACTATTTCTAAATATCTTTTTAGACCCTAACAGGACCAACACTATTACCCAATAAGTACTAACGAGGTAACACTTGTCACCCTAATCACTTACCGGGTAAGATACTTTGTCAGTAAAATGACACGGTAAGGTTGTTGGTAAAGATTATCGACTGCCAATCCATTATCCATTGTGGTATAATGAACCAAACATATTGAGATTAAATAAATAACAAATATGTTATGCACAATGATGACAAAAGGATGTTACCCATTAGAACAACCAAAAATAATAAATATCTTAAGCATAATAATGAGAAAAGGATGTAAACAACAAATACAATGAGTTCAAAGTTGATTACATGTTTCAAGTATATTTGTCCATGTGGCTAGAACTCTATACTCGTATATAACAAGCAATTTTATATATATATATATACACACATATAAATATATGCATATTGGTTTGCCTAGTTGTAAAATCGAAAAATCTTACTTGGGCTGCAACTTTTTGGGGAGAAAACCTCCGCTATAAGCGAAAAGGCTATCGTTACTGTAAGGATGGTTGTAGTCATCGCTTGTGCGTTCATAACTTGCGGAAGTTGACGATGATGATTCAGTGCCAGGGTTAAGGCCCACTAATTCCATAATGCTCTCAAGCTCTTTCACAACTTCACTCATTGTTGGCCTTTGATTTCCCGTCTCTTGGACACATCTCAATGAAATATCCACGAACCTCTCCAAACCTTTAAGTTGGCTGCTCAAACCAATGGTCGGATCAAGGATCTCGTGTAGGTCGTACAGTTCTTTACTCTTGTTCATCACTTGTTTCACTTCCCTCACAATGTACTTGCCTTTCTCTATTGGATTTCTTGCGGTTATCAACTCCAACATCACAACTCCAAAGCTATAAACATCACTTTTTTCCGTCAACTGTTGAGTCATGTAGTACTCAGGGTCCATGTATCCCTGCATCCATCGATATGATCACAAATCACTATTGATTATTCAAATACTATATGTGTTGTAAGGACACACTATATAGAGATACGGATACATACCATTGCATATCAGACTATTAGATTCTAAAATGTGGATGATATAGTGGTGCATTCAGTTGTGTGTGTATAATATCTAAACCAATGGAACCCTTTTGAATAATCATAGACTTCAGAGTATAAAGACATATTCAATAAGGAATGAGAGGAGGGCAGATTAATAAGATAAAGATAAAGCAAGTCTTGGATAAGTCATAAGTCCTCAAGTTTACATATAACTATCTTATGTTTATTTTAATTGTTTTATTTGGTTTTCTTCAGGATCCGTTTTATTCTAGGAGTCTTTTACTTAGTTTAGATACCTTCATTGTTTAGTTTTTTGGAATATAGATCAATTTATTATAACTCAATTCTCTACAATTCAATAGGGAAAGACTGCAGCCTATCGAAAGCTGTAGGGTTTTAATACTCTAATCTTGGCAACCTTTTATCGACTCTTATCAAATTGGTATCAGAGTCTACCGCTGCTGTTCTGGATTAGTAATCGTGTTACTATCCACGAATTACTGTTCACTATTCACGAATCACTGTTCACTGTTCATGATCACTATTTACGATTACTATTCACGCGATAATGACTCGATCAACAACATCGAGGATGGACGAGGTGGAGGGAAGCTTGGGAACGGTCCAAGCGAAGGTGAACTCGCTGAAGGATGACATAAAGAATGTGATCAAACAAATGGAAACAATGTTGATATTGCAAGAAGAAGGGCTTAGGAGAACAGAGAAGAGCTGGGAGAGGATGAAAGCGAAGACAGTGGACAACCAAAAAAGGCGGACTATCGTGTAGACAAAAACTACGATACTGGTCGGTTTCTTGCAATAAGGGGGAGGAAACTAGACGGTTGGATATTAGGGCTGAAAGGTATTTCACTCTTAATAAACTAACCAATGAAGAAAAACTAGAAGTCTCGGTCATTGCTTTTGAGGGTGACGCCTTGTTGTGGTTCTAGTAGGAGAATAAAAGGAGACCCGTTAGGCTATAGAAAGAATTAAAAACATTACTGCTTCATCAACTTAGACCAGCGGGGCATGAATCTTTATGTGAGCAATTCTTGGTTGTTAAGCAAGACGGCACGGTGGCAGAATACAAAAGAAGGTTTGTTATGTTGGCAGCCCCATGAGAAGGGATTCCAGATGAAGTTTTCGTTAGTCAATTCTTAAACGGGTGGAGTCCACAAATTAGGGCAGAAGTTCGCACCCTCGTACTGGTGGGATTGGGAAAGGCCATAGAACAAGCTCAGAGGATAGAAGAAAAAAACAAGATTTTAGCAAGAATAAATAACCCAAAAGGTAGCTGGTTGAACAAGCGTAATGGAGAATGATTTGTAGGAAACAAGGGATTTGTTGAACCCTCCAACAAGAGTAATGGACAGGGAGGAAAATCTGTCAGGGAATTCAGAAGGTTGTCCGATCAAGAACATCAAAAACGTAAGGCTCAAGGTTTATGTTACAGGTGTGATGAGAAGTATTCTCCGGGCCACCAATGCAAAAAGAAGGAGCTTAGTGTGTTGGTGGTTCAAGAGGCGGAAGAGTACAACTTCGATGAAGATGTGAACATGGGGGAGATGAAGGAATTGGCAGGGTTAGAAACAGGAGGAGAAGTAGAAGTATCATTGAATTCAATAGTAAGACTGTCAACAACAAAGACTATGAAGCTAGAAGGAGAGGTAGAAGGCCAAAAGGTAGTTGTTTAAATTGACAGCGGGGCTCCCCACAATTTTATAGCCATGATGTTAGTTGAGAAACTCGAGTTATCTACAAGAATCATAGAAGAATATGATATCTCAATGGGAACAGGAGAAGCCATGAAGGGACGGGAGTATGTGAAGGGGTGAAGCTAAGTATGCAAGGAATTGAAGTTGGGGAAGAATTTTTGCCCATTAATTTGGGAAACTTGGACGTAATATTAGGCGTTAAATGGTTGGACTCACTAGGACAAACATGGGTGAATTGGCAAAACCAGGTTATGAGATTCAAAAAAGGAGGGGAAACCCTAACCATAAAAGGAAATCCAACTATTGGCAGATCCTTAGTATCATTAAAATCGATGATGAAGACACTAAGGAATGAAGGAAAAGAGGTGTCCATGGATATGGCAAAAGTTGAGGCAACCCCCGTAAGCTCACCAACTCTTTGTAGTTGACCTTGTTTTTATTCCATGCTTTTCAGGTTCTAAGTAAGTTGTGTGGACTTTTGGGAGCATTACTTGGATCAAGATCGATTAAGACAGAGTTTTTGTTGTATTTGAAAATATTTTGTAAACTTGAAATCTTGTCAAGTCGATGAACTGTGTATTTTGAACCTTTGAAAAAGTGTTATTCTTAAATTGTTGCCAAGACTCGCTTACCTGTTACATTCCGTGTTTCCGCTTTAACGGGGTGTGACAGTACAAGCATATTGAAAGGCCTTTAATGGATTTGTTGCGAAACAAGGATTCAAGTGGCAAAAGGCAACTGATGTGGCCTTCAAGGAATTAAAGAAGGCATTGACTTCAGCCCCAGTTTTGAAGCTGCCAAATTTTAGTCAGCCATTTCAAATTGAAACAGATGCATCGGGATAGAGTGTTGGGGCGGTATTAATGCAAGGGGGATAGCCCATCGCATACCAGAGCCAAGTTTTGGGTCAGGTTGCTTGACATAAACACATATATGAGAAGGAACTCATAGCCATCGTATTTTTTGTAACAAAGTGGCGACCGTGCTTGATCGGAAGGAAGTTCGTTATAAGGACAGACCAATAAAGCTTGAAGTTTTTATTGGAGCAAATGTTAAAAGACAGAGATGATGCAATTGATTTGCTACGAATGTTCTTAATGCAAGCACAACACAAAATGAAACAAGAAGCTAATGGGCACAGGAAGGAGGTAAATTTTGACATTGGAGATATGGTTTTCTTGAAGCTTAGGCCTTACCGACATAAATCTTTAAGGAAAAGCAACAACCAAAAGTTGTCCGCGCGTTTTTATGGACCATCTAAAGTGGTAGGCAAGGTGGGAAAGACGGCTTATCGCTCGGAATTGCCAGCATCTACACGACTCCATCCAGTGTTTCATGTCTCTCAGTTGAGAAGACCAATCGGATAGAGCGCCTCGTCAACCATATTGTCGAATCAATTGAATGACGATATGGAAATGATAGTAGAACCAGAAGATGTCCTACAAGTATGAACAACACAGGATGGAAGACAGGAGGCATTAATCAAATGGAAGAATTTACTTGTATTTAAAGCCTCCTGGGAAGATTGTGAAGTGTTGAAGATGCAATTTCCTTCTTTTCATCTTGAGGACAAGATGCAAGTCTTGCCCGGGGTGGGGGGTATTGATAGACGTCAGAGTATAAAGACATTCAAGAAGGAAAGAGAGGAGGACAAATTAAGAAGATAAAGATAAAGCAAGTCGTGGATAAGTCATAAGTCCTCAAGTTTACATATAACTATCTTATGTTTATTTTAATTGTTTTATTTATTTTTGTAGGATCCGTTTTATTCTAGGAGTCTTTTACTTATTAGTTTAAGTGCCTTCATTGTTTATCTCTTTGGAATATATATCAATTTATTATAATTCAATTCTCTACAATTGAATAGGGAGAGACTGCAGCCTCTCAAAAGCTGTAGGGTTTTAATACTCTAATCTTGGCAACCTTTTATCGACTCTTATCAAATAACACTAAATTAGTTCCTACGGTACATATATACATGTTTGATGATCCGTGTCCAACTGAAGTGGGATTCCAACGTCCCTTCAATCGTAGCCTAGACGGTGCATCCTAAAACTGAGGCAAAATAGTTTGTCTGGGTCCTAGATGTGGTAGACCTAGTTCAGATACCATGTGAAGATACGTGGACCCCTTTTGATTCTCTCTTAAAAAGGCCTTTATAGAGAAAGGGAAATTCCTACACACATACATGTTTGATGGTCTGTCTATAGTCGATGTTGGAATCCAACACGATCAAATAAAAGAGGTTACTAACCAAAGCGAATTATGATACAAGTGAAACTAACCATGGTCCCTTTGACTTGAGTGGTAACATGAGTCCTATTGGCATCACTCAATGGCTTGGAGAGGCCGAAATCAGCAACTTTTGCGACTAATCGTGCGTCTAGTAAGATATTATTTGTTTTTATGTCTCTATGTATGATAGGAGGATCAGCAAGATCATGTAAATATTGCAACCCTCGTGCTGCTCCGAGTGCTATTTTGAGCCTTCGCATCCAATCCAACCTGATACCTGATCTCCCTGAGTTGATCACGACATTTGATCTAATTGGTTATTCAATTAAAAAGAAGAAGTCAATAGGAGCCATGGCTATAAGAAAGGGCATAAAAGGTAGAGTACCTAAAAGACTATCCTTAAGAGTACCATTCACGATATACTCATAAACCAGCATCTGTTCACCCTGGTCAAAACAAAAACCGATGAGGCCCACAACGTTCTTGTGATGTACTCTTGAAAGAAGCTCGATCTCAGTTTTAAACTCGAGCCCGCCCTGTGTTGATCCCTGTTGAGCCCTTTTGATGGCAATTAGCTGTCCATTCGGAAGACTTCCTCTGTATACCTACACAATATTCGTTGACCATGAAATTAAAAACCACATATCGACTTAAAAGGTAAAAAAAAAAAAACTAACCATCCCATATCCACCGGCTCCTATGTTGTTAGTCTCCGAAAAATTGTTGGTATATTTCTTAAGTTCTTCAAAGGTGAAGGATTTTGCTCCTTTCAACTGAGGAACACCACCACTTCCACTGGCTGGATCCCAGAGTGCTGCAAGTATTATACCAATTAGAAATGATGAGAGGCCATATTACATTTTGAATTATTAAAATCATGACTATATTTTAATTTACCAAAAGGAGAGGTCTGTTGGGTGGCTCTTTCAGCTTGTCCTTTCTGGCGAAAAGCGTAGACTCCTGCTAATACCAATAATATCACAAGCACACAACCACCAACTATTGATCCTATGACAACTCCAGTGTTAGATGACTTGTGTTTCGGGCTTGATACTCCTGTAAGATGACATGCAAATACACTTCTATGATCAGGAGTTCAAAGCGTTCGCTAGTTTCTATTTTGTTAAAGAACCTTCTATGGAAGTCATTTGTTGCAAACTTATATTCAAGTGCTCCAAATTAAAAACTAGCACTAAATGACCAATTACCTGGCAAGAAATCGTAGTTTTCAGCAATGAAGACGTAGGTGTTGAAATCTTTCTGAGTCTTGAAAGTTTGATTGCTAAGCACGAACCCAAGCCCAAGAATCCCGGTCCTATTAAAATTTACTTCACCAGATGGAAAAACTTCAAGATTAATCACAAGGTAATCATCCAAATTTCTGCTAGGATTCTTTAATGACACCGAGTCTACAGGGAGTTGGGCTTTGCGAAAGAAAGTCATCAACAAATCGCGGAGGGAGTTGTAGACAGTCGAATTTCCAAGGTCCGAGAAGGAAGGTGCTTTGAAGAAAAATGAACCCATGTATGGATATGCACATTTACAGTTGGGGCTGGAAACTTGGCCTGAACCACATGAAGGTGGTACACAGTTGTTTAGTGGTGTTGAATATGAGGTACTTGTGTTCGTGGGAAGAGAGCAATATCCATCAGTCACTCCCGATTCCATACATATTGGATTATCAACCAGTCTGCAGTCATAATTTCATATGTTTTTAGCCAAATAAAATTAAGATTGACTATTGAGATCAAACAGACAACTGAAAGACCTCAAAACACACCATTAGATGTTAAAGGAGTAAAACATTTACAGAACTTACATTAAACTAATATTATATCGGCGTCGTTGGGTGAAGTCCGCAATTTGGTTACTCCGCAGATTAACAAGTTGAAGTTGGTTGCTGGGGTTCGAGCTAATATCTAAGGTGCCATTTAGTCTGTTGTTGCTTAAATCGCTGTCAAAAGACGCGTGCGAGTTATCAGGCTTCAGCAAAAAATAACAAATTGATAATCTAATAATGTCTATCAACTCACACATTCTGCAACCGAGGAATGCTGAACAAGGCAGCAGGCAGTTCTCCTCCAATGTTTGTACTTTGCATCTTACTGCCATAACAACAGCCAAAAATGAATTAATTAGCAATTCCCAGGCTCTCTTTAGGGCCAAATTAAGAAGCTAAATAATTCAAAACACTTTGCTTACAGAGTTGTCAAAGACTGCAGAGTTGAAAACCATAAAGGAACGGTCGACTGATCAAACGTATTATTGCTTAAATCCCTGCAAATGTGCCATGACATCGATGAAAGTGACCTCATCAAGACTGGCAAAAAGTTGGATGAAGTCTTGGTACTTACAGATAGTTGAGAATTTGCATGCCGGTGAGATTGGGTACAGGGCCGGTCAGTTGATTGTTTGATAGGTACCTGAGAATCAAATTCATCGAACATCATAATTTCCTCTATGCTAGAATGAGAAATAGTAAGTATACCAAGGGTTCAAAATTGTGTAATTACATCTCATTCACATTGGTAAGGTTGTTGATGTTTGATGGGACATTGCCACTCAAAGAGTTCCTATCAAGTCGTCTGATCTCCAAAACAACACATTCCCGGTTAAGATGCAAATAAAATAAAAGATCCCAAGTAAGACTTTTTGGCAAAGTAGTTGTTAGTGGATAAACTAGTCAAGGTTGGTAAAAAGTAGCTAGGAAGCTACATAACAATGTAAAATGACCTAATAGAACATGTTAAAAAATTATGTGTGTGAAATATAAGAGGCATAATCGGAATAAGTGAAAAAAGCCCATAGAGAAGCTTATTGAAACGTTATCTGAAGTAGTTGTTTCAAAAAGCTAGTTTATGGCTTACCAAATGGTGTTTTTTAGTAAGCTCAAAAAATAAGCTAGCTGATGGTTGTCAAACATGGCATAAAAGTTGGATACTCACACGACCTCGAGAGACTTCACAAGTCCTAGTGTGAGAGGAATACTGCCTGTAAGCTGATTCTTTTCAAATAACCTGGTCAATAAACATAATGGATAAAGTTGATTTCTCTTATGATAGTTTACGTTTGTATTATCATTCATTAGATAAAAACATACAGGTGAATCAGAATCATGTTTGAGCTGAAGAGCCGAGGTGGGATAGCACCTGAAAGCTGGTTGTCTCCTAGGTGACTGAAACTTCAATAAAACATAAACTGGTTTTGTTTCATGAGCGAATTTAAGCTGAAAAAAGGGCATAGACGTACAAGTGTTTTGCACGAGTCAACATATCAAGACCAGGCGTTCTCCCATTAGAAACAGGTATACTCCCAGTGAGCTTGTTTTGGGTGAGATCCAGCCAATAAAGATTCTTAAGATTACCAATGGAAGCCGGAATGGGTCCAGTGAAGCCATTTGAATTCAGAGACCTACACGTTACAGATTGTTGAGTCAAAGACATAGGGGCAGATAGTAATTGGTAACATATATGGGAAATTTCTTACAAAATTGTAAGCCTCTCAAGATTTCCAATGGTGTCCGGAATTGGACCAATGAAACTGCAACCAACTACGATTCTGGAAAACAAGATCAAACATTTAATTCTAAAAGACAAAACCCGAATAGTTTTATCGAAGTGATGGTGAAGTTACATACAAGTTTGTTAATTTCCTCAATTTACCAATTTCTGGAGTGAGTGATCCGGTCAAACCCTTATTGTAAGATAGATCTCTACATAGACAGACATGAGTAAAAATTTCTGGCACTATAGAACAAACAGGTAAACTATCATAATTACAATTACTCAACATATGGAAGAACTTACAGGATCTGCAATTCAGTCAACTCCCCAATGTCTCCGGGGAGCCCACCGGTCAATTGCATGCTTGCCAAAGTTCTGAGAAGTTGAATAAAGAAAACGCAAGCAGAAACTAATGAGATTTTCTGTTTGTAAATCACTTGAAGGTGAAAAGGAAGGACTTACATCGAAGTCACTCGATCGTTGGTGCAGGTGATGCCATCCCAACTGCCACCACATGGGTCGGAGCCATCGTCCCAGTTGGGTGGTGTGTTCTGCCAAGCATCCTTGAGAGCCAGCAGAGAAACACCTATGCCATACAAGTTTAACATCCCAATCATATTTCATTTCTCTTAGTTCTCTACCATACATAAATAACTTAACTGCAACAATTTATTTGTTAATTTTACTAGAAAAGTAAGCAAAAACTGAAAGATGAAAGAAGCAAAATTTGTTCATTCATCAATAAAACTCGAAAACACCTGGGTCAGGATAAACTCGAGTTCAAGACTAACCCTCCCCTCTTGTTTCTTCTCTCTCCCTCACTTTTAGAACAGTGTGGACCATACAAAACCTCAAAAGCAGAGAAACTACAAACTATAAAACTTGTAACAAAACGAACATCAGAAACAATTGTAGTTTGACCAATTTCAACATGATTTTCATAGCTAGGAAAATGATCAAACACATGGTGTGCACAATTCCATCACCATAGAATTGAAAAGAAAATTACTAGAAATAAGAGCAGTAAAATAACTGAACTTACGATCTCTATTCTGTGCTGTAGTTATCCAAATTTGTATGAATATGGTTACAAGTAATTGCCCAGTTCTTGCACCCATCTCTCAATGTAAATGCAAGAAAACCTGAAACACACGAACCAAATAATGCAGGTTACAAATGACAGCATGTTCCTGCCATTGACTTAGTATACAAGACTTTGATAAATTGATTGATTTATAATTCTAATACAATAATAATATGAAAGAATGGCTGGGAAAGACATGGTCAACTGGGTTGGCTAACTCTTTCTTCAAGTTGCAGAGTGAAGCCCCAATCCTTTGTAGACATGTGTCAAATCTTTATCCCGATTTTTGTACTATTTGCAGGTAGTTGTAAGATCAATCTCCTTCCGCAAGTTCAAGATTACATTTTATGAAGGAAAGAGTGGAATGCATGTAATATCATATTTATATTGCTATAAAATGCATAATATTATACTTGCCCTCTGTTTGACTAATAATTGAATTTTCTTTTTCTATGTCATGTAATTATTTTTGAAAGTTCTCCAAATGTATAGAATTTTAGACTCATGTTTTTTTTCACATTACATAAAATTTTGAAGAATCTGTTATAGTAAAATTTTGCTTAGAATCATCAACTTTTTTCCATTTTCAAGAAGGTTTTGGAGGATATGTAGAAACAAAATTGTCTAAAATCTTTATTTTCTCCATTTAAAAAAAATATATTGGAGATGTTTTTAATATTATGTGATCATTGTTAACAGGTAAATGCATAAATTGCAATATAATAAGAAGATAAAAACATGTTATCTTTGGTGCTAAAAAAATAATGTTTGATCCAACATTAGATAAAAAAATTCATTCTATTATAAATGTTTGGGTTCATTTATGCACAATTCAACTCATTTTATGTGATCTTGAAATTAAACATTTAGGAAAATCTCGTATACTTTTAGAGGACTCATATAGATAACTTATCGGCAGGAGCAATAGTGACCTAGAAAATTTTCAAGTGATGACGCCATTTGATTATAAAAATGAAGTTGTTGATATATTTTACAAAAACATCATCACTTTGTTGGTTAGTTCCTTACTTTTTATATGTGAGGTCCTGTATTTGAGTAGTTAATCCTAATTTTTTTTTCAGAAATATAAATTAAAAGTTAAAAGCTATGAAAATGATACAAATAGGATATGAACATGTGTCTGGAAGGGAAAAAAAGACTGAACAAACCAACTCTATTAAAACAAACTTGTGTTATTATTGCAGTTTCATGGTTCATATGGTTGCACCAAAAAAAAAATCTAGTGGTACATTTCACGACCCTAATTTTTTTACACTAAGACGGAGGAACGAAGCGGTGACCCATGCCACCACCATATGCACCATAATGAGTCTGCCACGAGGAGCCACAATACCTCGCATTTGTTGGTTGAGTTATAGAAGTTTTATTATGTAATCAAATACATAAAGTATCTCATGATAACAATACATTGATGTACACAAATGTGGTATAAGAGGTCGTTTACTAAACACTTACTTTATAAGTGTTTAACGGATAAATTTCCTTATCGGATGAACATGAGAGGGCCAAGAATCTTACCGGGTAAGAGCAATGAAAATGATAGAGAGTCTTACCCGGTAAGCAAGGATGACGACTCTTACCCAAATAAACACTTACCCCGTAACTTGTAGCATTCAATATGTTTTGATCTACTAAAATCTTACGTATCAAAATAAATTATAATGTTGAATCCTATCGATAAGCACTTAACGAGTAAACATTTGGGTAAACGGCCCCTAAGTGTTTGACATCAACGTTTGTTGGTCCCGTTAGTCTCTATAAGAGTTTTATAGAAACAGTTTGTAGAAGGGGGGGATGATGAATACAAACACAAGAAACTTTCAAATTTAAAATATATATTGATAATGAAGAATCAATACAGATTTTACAAGATTGTATGCGAAAATAGATTAGGTAAATATAACCTATCTAAAACAATCTAAGTTTACACACAAATAATCTTAGCAAAGAGAAAAGATTTGTTGTTAAGACTAAGAAGGAAATGAGTTCTTTTTGGGTAAGAACATTTTAGAATACTTGAAAGGGATTCTAACTTGCTTTGAAGAAAAGTGCAGGTGTTCTTAGATGTGTGTGTGATCTATTGTGTGTATGCACATTATTTGCATGGAGAGAACACTCATCTATTTATACCCATTGCATTAAATGCATATTTAATGCAATGCAATAGGATTTGAACACGCGTCATGCTTTTAGAGAAAAGCGTGTTCTTTGCTATAGTGAATAGTACAAAAGCCTATTCATGAACAGACATCCTTTCATGGAGTTGGTGGGTAATAGAGTCAACTAATCGGCTTCATACCGTACTATACTCCAGAAAGGGTATGGGTTTGTCCTTTGTGTGTGGAAGGACAAGACAAAAGCAATCTTGCACAACAAACTTCTTTTGATCGCTGAATGCTTGAATAACCCTGGAGGTCTCTTCAGCATTCGCTGAGGCTTGGGCAGTCTTCACACATATGTTGACAAGGTTGTAATCACTGAATGCCGCTTCAGATCACGAACGTGCTAGTCTCTAATCTTTAGTTTCAGTCTTCGACTTTCGCTGAAGGTTCTTTGGTGTGAGTTTTGTCTTCTTAGAGTATCGATGTCGTTGTAGGATTTACAATACATGTCTCAGCGATCACTTGACACACTTAGTGATGATCGCTGGTACTGAAAAATAGAAGCATAATACTTCGTAAAAGGTAAAATGGATTATCATCAAATCAATGAGAGTGGAGATCAACAATCTCCCTCTATTTGATGATAACAAAGCAACATAAAGAAAGTTGTCTTATCAAATAATAGTAGGGAAAAGTTACATATAAAGTACATGCCCCTTTTAACTGTTTTGGGATCTTTTTCAGTGAGTCAGTTTTTACTTAGTAAATTTTCTTAAGTTACAAGTTTAAGAAAAGGTATAAGAAGGGAAACTGAAACTAAAAGCATGTTCACTGACTTATAGATTGTCAATGAATATAAGAGAACACTATAACTCATAGACATGTGTCCCTGTTACTTTTTTTCAGGGATCTTTTTCAGTGATGCAAATGAAACACTTATATTAATTCAAAGAAAATATTACAAGTTGTTCAGTACATTTCTTAAACTTACAATATATAAGTTGAACACTGAAAGTCGACATAGAATACAAAAGATATATAGTGAATGACAAATTACAAAATATAAATAACTAATCTAAGTTGTTCAAATTAATGTACCCAGGTACATCTTCTCCGAGCTTCTTTCGACGTCGAAATTCCTTTCTGATCATGATGTCCATCATTTCACCATATATGTCATCATTTAGCCAATATCTGATGTATGTGAGATGTTCCATTGGGCATAAATGTAACTCATAAATTCTTTGGAAGCTGACTTCGCCTTCATAGTCAAGGATGATAAATCCTAACTCAGGCATTATATGTACAGTGTTGGGTATGTAAGGACCCTTTGCTGGCAGTGAGAGATACAACATAGAAATTTATGGCTTCTTCATAGCCTTCAGTACTTCATCCAAGGAGAACTTTCATTCATGTTCGTTCCTTAGGGTTGGTCCGTCATTAGGACTTGAAGGTCTTTTTCTTCTTCCACCTTTTTTCAGAGTAGGCTTTTCAGGGACAACGACATACCTGGACATCTTCTTGATCAGATCGCTGATGATGTCTTCTATAATCGGCTTATGTTGAGATTTTGAGTGCTGAATGGCTTGGCGGATCTCCAGCCATTCACTGTAGCCATACTCGCCGAGGTAGGAAGGATACTCGGTGACCGCATCAAGGTTATCCCTTGTGATGAGCATTGAGATCAGCAATCCACCGTCTTTCATTCGTTCACTGATGGTGACGTTTGAAATAGGATGAGGGATGACTCCCTTGTGTAGACGATCTTCGCTCCATTTTCTGTCGTGTACGGCCAGCATAAGGTTTTTCTCACGTTCAACTTCTGCAATAGAGAGAAGCTTAGCCTTGGCCTGGACAACATTCACCATCTTTTTTGGATTTCTTCCTTGGAAGAACTTTGGGAGCAAGAGACTTGGCCAGCTTTAAGCTGTCCTCAGTCTGTTAACGTTAAGGATTTAGTTCTTCCTCGGCCTTGAGCGCCTCGAGTTTTTCAGCTACTGTCAGGAATTCGAACTCACCACAACTAGAGTTATGAAGAGGAATTTTTACTCTAGTTTGGTCAAGCGACTCCCTTAGCTGAGACATCTGTTGGTTAGTGGGAGCACTAGGGGAAGGGTTTTCAGGGACCCATTCATCCAGCCAACAGCAGGTAGTGGTAGGGATTGCGATTTGGTACATGGAAGTTATGGTGATAAGGCTTAAGGACTCATTTGTTAAAGGTTCTAGAGGTTGGAACAATACCTTTAGGTTGCCTTCTTCAGCAACACCTTTGTCTTTCTACTTGGTGTTCTGGTTCTTTGGTTGAGTCGCCTCTTTCTCCTTTTGCTCCCCCTAGGATGCATAATCCCTAAGGGCTATGCCTTTCGTGGCACCAGAAGGTCTCCGGTACTAAATTGTGAAGTCCTCGTCTTCATCATCATCATCATCCAGGTCTTTGCTAGCATCAGGAAGGTTGGGAGATCCACTGTTTTCTTCATCATCATCTTCCATATCACCAACATTAACTGTAGAGGTGATTGGAAGGTCATCGTCACAAGCTTCAGCATCAGCTCGGACGACATCAACATCCTCAACTACAGAAGCTTCACAGGATGTTGGATTTTCATCAACGACATCAACTTCAGCTTCAACTCTAGGAGCTTCAGCCTCAGCGTTAGTCGCTGGATCGACAGGTTCAGCGGAAACAGTAGTAACATTAGAAGGAGCAGCTCTAGATTCTGTTCCCTCTCTTTGGTAATGGCTTTGGAGTAACAGCCAAAGAAGTGGTTGACAGTGCGGATCTGGAGCGCCATCATCTCTTCCATTCTGGTCATAGCACGAGCGAGGAGAATAGCTGTTACATCAAATTGATCCTAATAATTATCTCAAAAAGTTTTATTAAGCAATCGGGGCTAAGAATGGA